GATAATGAAAATACTATAGATTAATTGAAGGATAACTTAATTGGATTAATACTGTAATTATAAATTAATTGACCAAATTACTATATTTGGTTGATATATTAATTGATTAATTTGAATGCCTGATTTATATATCAAATAAATGATTGATAGAACAGCAATATATGGATTTTTAATATTTATTTTCCTGTATTTTCTTCCAGTCGAGGAGAATTCAGGCCTGTAACTTCCTCACATTTCTTCTGGTTTCGTAAGAGTTGCTTAGTAAAATTGTAGCTTTATAATTCTGAATTCAATAATAGGCATTTGTAAACACATTAATTAACAGAGTACCTCATAGAAACCAGCTATAACTTATCAAAATGCCATTTAATATGTCATTAAGTCTTTTGCAAGTGTGGTTACAATTTGTAAAGTACCTGGGCTGATAATGCAACCAAGTACAATGTCCTTGATCAGTAAGCTGCCCTCTTTGGGCCACTGCCCACTTAAACCGCACATCTAATCAAAATAAACACAAAAATACAAATTGATATAAATACACTGATTTTTTTCTAAACGACACTCATATTCTAATAACAACCAACAGAAAGGATAAACTGATTGGAAAATATTCATTTCACTTCATGTGTTTACAGTTTATTTTTTATTACGTGACTAACGGCATGAGTGTTTCTTTTAGTCTGATTTGGTCGCTGGAGTATTTTGGTAATATGAATCTCACTTAGAGGTATGCACTTTTGAAATATAACCTCGATGAACACGGTGTCCACTATCAACTTGCAACTAACCTACCAGAAACATTCTTCCCGTCTAGATTTCCTAAACTAAACCATAAAATACATGATGAGGAAGAATTGTACAGGTATTAAAAAAAAGCAACAAAGTAAATAAGTAACTTGCCTTGTAATATCTAACCAAGCATACTGTTTATGTGGTTACACAACAGACATTCTACACACAACTTTCAAGCATGCTTCTCTTTACAAGTGAACCTCCTCTATGCTTCAAGGTCAAACCCAACTCCCTAGCAAGTTATGCAAGCCATTTTTGACACGACTCCCTAGCTTGCTTAATTTCAATGCATATCCTTAAATAATAGGTTATGATTTTACACTGTAGAGAAGATTGAAGATTGAATTTCTTTAGCCTGGCCTACTTCATAATGCTTATCAAAGCAGCAAGACAATGAATACTAAGTTGTCTACATAAAAGTAGCAATATAATAACTAGCTAAACACCAATCTTTCTAAAATACAGTCAAGTAAATCTGAACTTCGAAGGTCATATCACATCTGTGCCAAATTTCAGTCATAAAACTATTTGTACTTTCTCACACAATAGCACAATCATACATATCACAGACCTTACTGTATTTTATTATACAGGATCTGTACTTTTAAATACAGAGTAGAAACATAGCCATTTATCTTTAGAGAATTTAAAAAAATTATTATCTCTTTGCCATAATAACATCAATGCTTATTTGTTGAATTTTCTTTAAAAATTTACGGTTAAATCTGGAAATTAATTTGTTTCTCATCCCTGACTATTTCTTTTGTTGCCACTTTTTTTGTTACCACACTGTAGCTTTTTTTCCCCGTGCCGCACCTTTAGGCTGCTATGATAAAGAGGAAACAATCATTAAGAAACAGTAGGTAGCAGTAGCATTTACGAGGAGGAAATGGGAATTCCGAACTAAGCAATGCGCATGTGGCAGTTACCAAAAAACGTCCGCAAATTAGCTATAAAAACACAGTGAGCATGTACTTGGAAATGCTAAGCAGCCAGTGAGCATGTGCAATGAGTAAGTAACGTTATCAAGCCATGTCAAGCATGCGCAGTTATCAAAAAGACATCTCAGGAACCATCTGCGATGAGGGTATCAGTTACCAATAAAATTTCGCAGAAACCAAACAGCGTCTGCGAAGAGGGTAGGTATGAAATAGAAATGGGAAAAATCGAACAGTAATGCAACAATTGAGCATACGCAATTCAGCTAAAGCAATCAGGTTATGGATGGAAAATAATAAGAACTCAGGTCGAAAAGCCTTTTTTTGTGGCTATTTTTACATTTCATCAGGGTTCGTGAAGGAGAATTGTAATTAAATTATTACAAACAAAAGTTTTAAGAGATAGATGAGGTGCTTTATAATTATATAATCATTTAATGAAATGTGCCCACTAGAAATCTAATAGACAACAAAGGGATCATGAATTTTAAGTTGCTGGTTGACGATATTCTGTACCCATCAATCAATCATTCGTCTGTCTGTCACTTATATTAAAAAGCTCTCAATGATACAATCAAAACACCCAATAATACTTTCACAGATTAAAAAAAAAACAGGTTTTCGTTAATTTAGAAATGTTTTACTACAAAAAATTCTTTTAAACAATAAAAATGATTATTAACCAATACTAAAGTTTTAAGTAAATAATATAATATAACATTCATAAATTTTTAATTTAAATTTTCAATTGAGAGCTAATAACTATAATAAATATAACTGGATTGCTTTCTATACAAAGAAGAAATTCAAATATTGAATTATATTTCTCAAGAGTGTCTTTTCAATAATTACAGAGTGTATATCTCATAAGTATAGGATTAAATATAAAACAATTTATTAACAAAACTGAGAATTGTTTTCTGTCATAATATTTAATAAATTAAAGACACTTCTCATGTGATTAGAAAGTTATATACTATAGAGGGCAGTAAAGCTATCAAATGTAATATTTTCTAACAAAGCATCCAATTGGCTGAAGTTGGGAATCACATGTTATGGTGTGATGCAGACAGACAATGGGAAATTAACAATAGACTTGAACCACAGATTGAATAGTCTGAACATTCGAATAGTTTACCAACAAAAGAGAAGATAAATCGGTTGTTATTAAAATATTTTTGATTGGCAGTCTCATATTAATAATATTTTGTGAATTTCTAAATATTAAAAAATTAGACTTTTTATGGTACAATCGACCTTCCCATTTACGAACTTCTCAAATCTCATTTACGAACCTTCTATTTTACGAACACTCGGCCGATGACGTCATCGCTAGATTTATTCATCTTATTTATGCTATTTTTATTTATTTTAAGAAAAAAGAATTACAAAGGTCATTAAAAATTGCATTATAGTACTAGTTATACAGTCATTCCATAAATACATCATACTACTTTAGGCTTAGAAAAGTCAAATCAATACATAATGTAAAATAATCAAACTAGGCGAAATTCAGGCAGGCAGTGCATGCTGCTAGGCCTACCTTGTCTGGGCTAAGGGCAAGGCTGGGCAGCCTATACCAGGGGGGCCTACCCTACTCTGTCTATGGTTAACTATGGTCTAAATGCACTGTAAATCAAATCAGCTAGTCCGAGTATAAATGTATGGTAACATCAACCTTTTATCCTTTTAAGAATAAATCAATAAGCATCTGTATTAATTATTTGTTTTTCACTGTCAAAAAAAACAAAACGATTAGCAAGCTGCTCTATTTTTAGAAGATGACATCAGCAATTACCCATCATTCAATGCTACAGGTACCAAAACCACATGTTTGGAAGTCAGGAAGGTCGAAAAAATAGGAACAGTTTCTTTTTTTAATTTATACAAAAATACCTTGACTTAAATAAATAATAAGCCCAGTGCTTTTTTATACAAATTATATCAATGTTTGTTGACTAATTTGCTATAAATTACGACAGAGGCCTAGCTATAGTTAGTAGAGAGCTGCTGCTAGGCCCAGCTAAACCACCACACTGTATGTTGAATAGTCAGCCTATAGTGACATGGAAGATTAGGTAGATCTATCCATGGAACGATTTCCTTAGCCTATTATGAATCGATAGTTATTATATTAGTTTGTCTTGCATTAACATTTAATTGATTCTTCAACGATTTCTATAAATGTTTACTGAACACTTAAATGCAAAATTAAACCTAGATATTGGTAGGCAGGCCTAGTTATAGGCTACAAATTGGCGTTTTTAAACTTGAGGGCGCTATTCTTACGAACTTCTCATTTACGAATTTTCTCAATTACGAACTGCTTTCAGCCCAAGGTGTACGTAAATGGGAAGGTCGACTGTATGTACATTAATAATAAGCCATCTATCTTGTAGTTTCCATTACCCCGACTATATTATTACAATGCTTTAGCTTAGTGTAATTCTCAACCTGAGGTCCGTGGATCACTTAGGTGTCTGTGAAAAATAATTGGGAGTTCGCCAAGCCAAAAGGGTCTTTTATTTTCCTTGTCTTATAACAGTGTGATATACATCTAACTGCTAATCATTAGAAGCTAATCAATATGGAATATCTTGATGTTATATTTTTGTAGTAAATCATCATCATCTATAGTGTTGTCCTACTAGTCTTATATCAACAATGGATATAAGACTAGTCCTAAGAAGGTCACCAAATGCAGAAAGTTTGGGAACCACAGATTTTATACTCAGCTTCATTTTTATAGAGCATCATTATAGGAACATTTTTAACTACAGAGGGCGACATTGAGAAATAAAAACCTGTGACTTCTAAAAAGAAATTTACATTCCTTTCCATAGTATTTTCCATAATATTAAGGGGAATAACACTGATGAAATGATCCAAAATAGTGATTAGTTAGTTTGGTCTTGGAAACTTCAAACAATTAAAACTCTATACTGTACCTGTATATCAGTAACTTTTGGTTTGTAAAATTCTTCCCAAAGAGATACATAACATTGAATGACATGAATACTATACTAAAGATTTTTTAATTATGTTTAAATTATTTTTCTATCCTTTTTTAATTTTATTTTTAAGATGTTTACTTGGTTCTACAATAACATTAACATCAGTTAAAATGTAATAAACGTATTATAATTCAATTACGGTGTGTGACTAAAAATAAATAAAACTTGTTTATGAGCGATTTCATTACAAACAATTCTAACACCAAGGATAACCCACGAAAGTATAAAAGGAAAAATTATAAACTATGTTTCTTACCGCATTCATTGAGTAATTATTGTTGACTTGCATTGGTACTGGGCCTCGTAGTGGTGCCACTTGGTTTGGTGGAACAACTCCGACATTATGTGGCGGTACACTGTTATTTCCAACCATTCCTGGTTGCCACGGTTGGTTCATGCTTGTTGACGGGGGCGTTCTGTTATTTCGGTTGGCACCTGATTTTTTAAACGATGATGGGGATTTTGAGCCATTGTTTTTCTTGTTCTCAGTTGATGTCTTTTGTTTAGGGCCAGAGCTAGGCAGTCTCTGGGGACTGTCCGCCTTCTTTGGCTGTGGCGCTACACGGTTCAGTGAAGTCTGTTGTGGCATCCCACCTGGAAATTGCCCCTGAGTCTTGATATTCAAATTAGGAACCGGTATTGTACTATCTGCAGGCGGTAAAAGTTCTGCTTCATTAAATTCTTTGAGGACATCGCTTATCAAATTTGATTGATTGGAGATAAGGTCGTTGGAAAGACTGCTGGCAGCTTCTATCAACTTCTGAACGATCGCATGATGTTCAGCTTCATCAGTCGGATTTGAGATAAAGTCTAAATCAAATGGTTGCGGAACCTGCCCAGGTGTTGTTGTCGTGGACACTGTTGGACTAGTTGTCAAGCTTTCTTTACTGACATTCTCTCCATTGTCGTTTGCATCAGTTTCCATTAGAAGTCTTTGAAGAAGAACATTCTTCTTTTTCTGTGCTTTACCATTTTCTTCTGTGTCTGACGATTCACTCTTAGTGCGCTCTATAACAGAGCTGGATGTTGACACAATACTACTGGCTACAAAACCTTTCTGATTAACAGGAAGCTTTCCACTTCCAAAGCATTTTGTGCGATCCCCATCCAACAACTTGGCTAAGAGTTGGTTCTCACTTGCCTCCAACTGCAGCTTCTCATCCTCTTTTAGTTGCATCCTGCTCTGGTTGGTAGATAAACTTGAAGGTTTACATGAATCTATAGCTACATCATCTGAAAGAAGAAACAAAAATAGGTATCACAGCAGAGGTTTCAAGCATAAAAAAAACCATGTTTATCTTGATCATTGTTCATCATTATCGCTTATCATCAATTATGTTGTTATAATTGACTAATACGTTGAAGAACGTTAATCAAACGTTGCCTCATTGCGGCTTGTAAGTGTTGTGTCATGAATTCAGACCAAAGTTATATATAAATGAAGCCATCACTATGTTTAAGATTATGAATAACCTTGCACATCATTATTTATCTAACAGATTTGTCTTTAAAAATAATTACTATGATACAAGAACTAAACTAGAATTAATGTTGCCAAAACCAAAATAGTAGAGCGGCTAAGGAGAAAAATCATGCATTTCTTGAAGAAAGCATGAAACTTCCCACAGTGATATTA